AGTGAGGGAGTTGGCACATCTGTAGGTAAGCCCTCAGGTGGGTTAGATCCATGGTGAGTTGATGACGGCTTCACAGGGACTTGAACCTGGTGCTCTGGACGTACGACCCTCACTCGTCTCCAGCTCGCCATGGCGGACCACTGTTCACTTGTCTCCAGCTTTACCTGGTGGATCACTGTTCACTTGTCTCTGGCTCTACCTGGTGGATCACTGTTCACTTGTCTCCATCTCTACCTGACAGACCACTGTTCACTTATCTCTGGCTCTACCGCAGATCACAGCTTTACCTGGCGGACCACTGTTCACTTGTCTCCAGCTTTACCTGGTGGACCACTGTTCACTTGTCTCTGGCTTTACCTGGTGGACCACTGTTCACTTGTCTCTGGCTCTACCTGGTGGACCACTGTTCACTTGTCTCCATCTCTACCTGACAGACCACTGTTCACTTGTCTCCATCTCTACCTGACAGACCACTGTTCACTTATCTCTGGCTCTACCGCAGATCACCGTTCACTTGTCTCCGGGTCTCGTCAGACTGAGACGACAGTGGCGGTGTCCCCCGGCTGCGTTTTAATCATGGCTGCATGTGTGCACAACATCAGACAAGGCGCTAACCCCACCCTCTCTCTCTGCTTACCTCATCTTCTTGAGATAGGAGAGAGAGGGAGAGGTGGGAGGACTGTCCTGGGCCACCCTTAAAAAATTGTTTGTTTCCCCTTTACCTACTTGCCTCTCAGGGTACCGAGTAGGTAGGTAGGTAGGTGAAAAATCTTTTTTATTTCGTTTTGACAAGATGTGTGTATGTATATTGTATGTTCTGTTTTGTGTATATATTTTTGCGGAACGAATTTGATTATTTTTTTTGGGCGAAACGAAATAATTTTTGTTTTGTTTTAATCGGCCAATAAAATGTGTCGAGTAGCGGCGTTTTGGCGAGTCGGTCGGTAAAGGGGAAACAAGCAATATTTTATCTTAGGCCTTATCTCAATGTTTTTATCAGCACTCGGTCATACTCCCTGTATCTACTCCATCTGCCTGAGCTTGGCCAGCCGCTGCGATAGTTCATCCTGTAAAGGAAACAATTGGTTACATCATCGTAGGAAAAGCACATGAGAGGCAGGGGGAAGCCAGAGGAGAGGAGAGGGAAGAGAATGGCAGATGGGGAGGTGAGGAGATAGGGGGAGGAAGGGAGGGAGGGATGGAGAGAGCGGGAAGTCATTGGGATGGAGGGAGAGACAGAGAGAGAGAGAGAGAGAGAGAGAGAGAGAGAGAGAGAGAGAGAGAGAGA